TCGAATTTAATTAGAATTCGCAAAGTTGTTATCAAAACCGTCGAAACTTTCGAGACTCATCGAAACCCATCGAAACCCGTCGAAACCATCGAAACCTGTCGAAACCCGTCAAAACCCGTCAAAACTGTCGAAACAAATTCTGAAAAGTTTCGACTTTTGCCAAAATGGGTTTAGGGTTTTGCCCCGCAACTATATTCGTATGCAACATGCATCTTTATGCCAGCTTAAAGCTTTTAAAGAAAATTTTCTATTTTTTTTTTCATAAAATCAATATAACCTTTTTCACGTGAAAACTTTATATAAACCCTGCACAATATTGTTCACCCAGCTAATTACGCATAAATACACACTTTTCATAAGTTGCAGAAGAGTACAGGACAACCAAAAAAGCTACGGACATTAAAAATGTACTGTACAAGCAAAGGCCCTTGCTTGTACATTTCATTTATAAGGATCTTTTGGGATATTATTAACTTCGAGATACCTGATTTAATTAAAAAAAATTTATAAAATTTTCACCGCACCTTTAATGATAAGATTTATGAATTTAAACTCTATCTTGGGTGTGAACAAGTATAAAAGAACTTTTGTTTGCTAAATATATACATGATGATGATTTGCGTCAGATGCCGACTGGCCTAAATTGTGGGCCTATTTTGAGATGTTCTTATAATGCCTTAAGAAGGTTTGGCCAACATTAGTCATCTGACGCATGCAAATCGGCATTTGACGCATAACATTTATATATCGATCATGTTGTGAAACAAAAAAAAAACATTGGAGCACCGTCCATTTTCAATTTGCCCCAATTTTTGGTCAACTAACATTTGCTGCAACATTACTTTTATATTCCCTATTGAGAAATACTCTATAAGCAACAAAATAATGAACAAGTGAAAAAAAGGTGAGAACCATTCCTTAAAAGTTAAAAAAAAAAAGATTAAAGGAGGTTCCATTTAATAAATTATAAATATATAAAAGATGGCAATCAAAAGTAATTAACTTGATTAAAAAAAAAATGATTATACCTTTTTTGTTATTTACGACATATATATTTAATTTCCAAGGTGCATTTGCACAGATTCCAAATGATGACTATAAATCTTTTAACGATTTTTACTCTATCACAGTCACCGCACTTATACCAATAGCTATCAAGATATTCGATAAAAATAAGGAGAACCCTTTCTTTAATTTTTTGGGTGATTTAGTAATTTGTCTTAGCATTGTATTATGCCCTTATTTAAGTTATATCGAAAATTATGACGGGTTAAAGCAGACTAGTATCTCTATTTTTTTATCAACATTTGTTACTCTTCCATTTATTATATTAAGTATTAATAACAATTTTGGATATCTTAAAAAACTTGTTGGATTAATTGGTTTTTTGAAATATTACATTATAAATTTACCGGTTCTGGTATCGTTATATCCATATTTAACAATCCTTTCGTTTTATTATGAAGAAAAACTCAAATGTAATATTTTCACATCGACAATAGGATGCTATAAAGGATGTGTCGATAAATTTGGATCTCCTGCATGCAACTATCTACGAGCTTTATTTTTTATTTTTTGCGCTCTTTATGCTATAGTTTTTTATACTCCTTTCTTCATGATAATTGTGCATAAGAGAAAGATTACTCGTTTCCAATATCTTTTAGAAAAAAAAATCAAATATGTAATATTTTTATCTTATTTTCTGACTATCTTGAATAATTTTATCTCCTCGGCATGGTTATTTAGCAGAAACTTTTACATTACCCAAGGGGCTGCATCTTTAGTCATTATCAGCATGGCACGATTGATAGAAATCACATTTACTAAAGATACTATCGATGACGATAAGATATCAATGTTAGCTTCAATTATTATAAAAAAATGGAAAGACATATTTCTATTCGATGAAATTACTAGTGTTTAGGGTATTTATGATTTGATGTAATTAGATTCGTCTTATTATGAGGATTTGAATAGTTAGTATTTTTATATCTGTAGCATTAATATTAACAGAGTTATTTCACTTTAAAGATTTAAATAATATTTTAATCGATTTTGGCATCAGATTCTAATGATCAAGGTCTCATTCAAAATCTTTTAAAATAAGAGCATTCAATTAACGGTTAGATTATATATCTAGCATTAATATGGACTGAGTTATTACAGTTTGAAGTTAAATCATATTTTATAATGCATTAATATAACCAATTATCCAATAAAAATTGAGTTGTATAATCACGGGATTCGTTATAGTAAAAAAATTCTTTACAAAAAAATTCATTATATAATTGTTTGAAAACTTTTCTTCAGAAAAGGTTATAGAATAAATAATTAATAAAATTCATTTTATCAAGATTTTTTATGTTATAATCTGTTTTACAATAAAAATTCGCAATACTATATAGAAAGTTGATTATATATTCAAAATAAACATCATATTAAATTTGGTCTTACACAATCGTGAAAATCTGAATCGATTATTGGACTGCAGGGTGATGATATTGTAAATTCAAATCATAATGCAATAATTCATTCTAACCAATTTTTTTACCAACGAGCCCTTCATGTCCAAACTTGACACGTAAATGCCGTTTTGAACACATTCTCAAAGTTTGCGATGCTTCCCATCATCTCTCGACTTTTCCATTTCTTGTATCTCGTGACTAAATAAATTAATCAGTAATGATTTTTTCAACGTTTGCATATATTTTTGCTCATTTATTATTAAATTGCTAATGGATGAAATCAACACAACGTTCTAAGTGATGATAAGATGGTGGAGGGTCAGACCGGATTCAATCAAAAGAGAGTCTGACATCCCAAACAGATGCCATAGTAATAGTATTTTCCTGCTAAGGCTTACTCTTGTGCTTCAGAGAAATTGGGATATATTAGTAATTACATAATGGTGTTAAAACTTATTTAAACTTCCCAAGCTAAATTTTAAATAATATATTTATTTATATTTTCGAAACTATTAATATATATTGGTGAATTTAATTATGTTATGAGGTGGTCTCTCTAATATTGTTCTTTTGAATTATAACACATTGATTAAACAAATCTTCAAGTCGAGTTCGAGAAAATATAACTAATCATTTTTAAAAGAATCCACAAACGTTATCGGGCTTTATTTTTACTCGAAAGCCTATTAAAAAGTGGACACATCCAAATTTTTTTGCTATACAAGGGATGTTGACACAGTGATGACAAATACTCTCGTATCTCAATCTCATAATTTGGGATTATTAAATATTCTTTCAGAACTTTTGGATGAGTGATATATCTGAAGAAGATATTGTAAATTGGTTTTACACTACTTTGATGAAACTTTGGAATACTTCAAATGAATGTTTCTTTATTTATTGCGATATTTTCCAACGATTATAATGTATGTTTCTTTTCTTGGTAAAAGGATTAATGTTTGGACATTTCCATTCAGAAATTCGAAAAGAAATATTATATAATAACTTTCAATAAATTAATGATAAGTTACTAAATATTATATATATAATTTGTGACTGCAAAAGAAATTTCTTGAAATTCGAAATTCGTAAGTTCTTTTCAAGCTGTAACCATGGTTTATCATAAATAGTATTTTTAATTAATTTTTATTAAAATATTGTTCGAATGAGTTTATGACTATATCACAAAACCATTCGCCAACATTTATCCTTTTCAAGTATGTTACTACCTAATGGATGTTGGATTACGCGCCGGTCATAGTGTCTCAAAACTTAATTCCAATATTATTTTATAGTGAGATTTGTTTAGCTTCTCAAGTAGCATATGTAAATGCTTAAATTTTGTACCTACAACAACTTATGCAAAATTCACGACATCAGGTTACTGAGCTTTCTATGAGAAATCGTTAAACATTCTGCTTTATACATTATATCATACTCATCTATGAAGAGAATAACATCTTTTTCCCACTTTCTTTGACTTTTTAAAAACAACTTAGCGAAATCACTACTAAACTTAATATTATGGTTGTCGACCTGAATGATGACCAGAATTCTTTTTCGCCGTTTTTGTTAATCATCTCAAGAGATATACTGTTTCAAAGAAAAAAAAAAATTTAAGCAATAGATGCAATGTACAAACCTGGTACTTGTGATCAGATGGATTAAACGAGAATAAGAACTTACTATTTGCAAATATAGCCTTCTTCTTCCAATTGTTCCATAACTCTAAACACCCGTGTAGTTTTTCCGGTGGCACGTGCACCATATAATGCCATAAATTCACCCTCCCGAATTCTATCAAGAAGCGGTTCACTTAACGTTAATGGATCAACAAAATAGACACCAGTACGCTGAGCTTTTCGAATGGCACCATTAGTATCCCATTTTCTTGTATCCCATTTGCTTCTCTTTAGTTCTGTGGCTGTAGAGAAAAATTCGCAAGAATGATGGAATGAAACATAAAAATAAGTTTGATACAAAGTTTCTATCACGCGTTTCTTACTTTCTTCTTCTTCCGTGATAGGTCTTTTTTTCCCGAGCTCTAATGGAGAGCGAGAAAGCATATTAACGAATGTGACGACGAGAATACGTATCATTGTTTCGACTGCAAATTTCTTGTTCGAGAGATAAAGGTAAAACGTCTTACCGGTGAGAGGGACTATGATGACATGGAGGTGGTCATCCTTAGGTTTTTTTTTATCATTATCAAAATATCTTTCAAGATTGAGCGTTTCCATCTTTGTGCCAATGTTTTTAACATCATTATAGGTAAAAATTTTATTCTCAAGGCCGATAAGGTTGACTTCAACTTTCCAAATTTTCAGATCATTAGCATCTTCAACATTACTAAGTTTACTTTTTGCCTCCACTAATATGAGCTTTTTGAGATGCGCGACTGATAATTTGCTAATGTCGACTTTCTTATTATCAACAATGTTTTCTTTGCAAATGTCAACTACGAAATCATTAGAAGTATTTATGATTTTACAAGTAAGTGAAAATTCCATTTCGGTGATAAATCTTTTAGTTTTTTTAAGAGAAAAAAATGAGAAACGCTTTTGAGAAAGTTTGAGAGAAGTCTAAGGTTTATATACTTTATATACCTATCTGAATACATCGTGACATAGACTCTCGTATAAACTTTTTGTGGCTTGTAGTGACGTAATACAACAAATAATATAGATACTTCGACAAAAATTAATAAGCATATTAAAAAAAAGTAATTTATCAGTACATGAAAAAAATGATTAATACAGTTTTATCATTACTCATTAGATTTGCGAGAATGCGATTCTCCGATTCTCAGCGTAAATATTACGATATTTTTAGGTCGTACGAGTGGTTGTACGATTGACCGTATTTGACTAAGTCAGAGTGGCTTTTTTTTATTATGATGTAAGGTTTTCACTTTTTTCTTACTCCTGACGTCGTAATATTTTCAGAGCATGAGTGTTATGAGTTATTTATGAACTCGTTAAAAAGAAACCGGCCTATAGCAATTTGAAAGAAGTGTTTGACGAAAAATTATTGAAGTACGGGCGGGACTTTTCGCAATTAAGGTATATATTTTTTTCGCATTTGCGAGAAAGCAATTCAGAACTTGCAGAGCTAATATCCCATTTTTTTGCTCAGGACTTATTAGGCGGAGAAAATAAACTTTCGGTGAGTTTTTACTAAGGGCAATATTGTTAATTTATTTCTGACTCTACATGTTCTATGCATAACTGACGACCATTTTATTCTATCCAGAATATCGATGTTGGGGCAAATGAAATCGGATTAGAGTTAATGTTGAGATGTGTTTGTATATAGATAGCTTAGATGAACGAAACACCGGCAGGCATTAGTATAGAGTCTCTAATTCACTTTGTAAAACGGTTACATATTTTCGAATCTTGTAATTTATTTTTTTTACATCAATAAATCAGTAATTCCGATCGTGACATTTTGTCACGGTTTTTTTTTATCTATGCTAACGAACTTTTGAATTATTCCATTTTATATAAAAAAATTATTATCGAACATGCAATCCATTGATTCATTGAGAGAATTAAATTCCAAGCTTTTAGCTGAATACTGAGATTCCCGAACTTAGAGAGAAGTTACTAAAGTTTGCTGAGGTTGAGGCTGAAAACGCGAAGTTGAAGCAGATTATTGAGGAGAATGCAAAGCGTGATGCTGAAAATGCTGAGCTAAAGACCGAAGTAGCAAAACTAAGGCATAATATTGAGGAAATGAAACAACAAACATAAGTCATTTCTGAAGTGCAGGATGCGTGTTCTATTGAAGATATTTCCCCCGTGGAAGTGATACCAAAGATATCAGCTGTTAGTATACCTAGTGACCAATGTGATAATGTCAATTCTTCACCTTCAAGTGCGAGTGAGCATAAGTCACTGGAGAATAAAAAGATGGATACTTTCTTGGAATCGGAATATAAGAGAAAGGTTAGTGATGAGATTAAACAACGCGAATTGGCTAATCAGAATGTTACTTCTGGTTTGTCATGTGATACAATAATCACTATTGATCAACAGCAGAAAAATACTCCAAATATGTCTTGAGAAAATTCTGGGCATAATAATTCTGCCAATAATTCTGGTGATACTGAGCTTACAAAAAGTCATTCAGAAACCATGACAAAATGTCATGATCAGAATAGTGCTCTTGAAGGTCCTAATGTTGATATACTTGAATTAGAGAACCAAATAGTAGAGGGATTGGTACAGAAGCTGATCTCTGAATTCAGCTCTGCATCTACATCTTTGAATGAAGAGAAGGTAAACGGAAGGTAGACATTTCTGAAATTAGTAAGCCTTGAATACAGGACATGATTTCAGATTCTGCACGAAGTTTATCAGAATTATTTGATAAAGCAATAAGCAAGGTGAAAATTTTTTGGAGCACTTTTTTTTCTTGTTTTTCTTCATTAAAATCAGGCCAAAAACTAATTCTATGCTGGTTTTTATTATTCTCTTAAATTTGAAAATAAGGTTAAAAACCTCACAGCAGATGGAATAAAACTGCAAGATTGAAAATATATAAGGATATGAAACCTTTTCTACCTAATATTACCGATGTGAATCTGTGTAAGAAACTGAAAGAGCTCGAAAAATCCTTAAGCTCTTTGGTAAAGAAGAAGGTGTAGGTATAAACAGGATCAAATATATTATCTCAGGATTAAAAGATACTCAATATATTATAAATCAGGTGACTTCAAAATTATGACAAAATGTCACAATTAGAGCACTTCAAGAAAAATTAAGAAACTACTAATGGTAATCAAACTAATGCATTATCTTTCTGAAAGCTGAAGTAAATAATACATCAGCATATCAGCAAATATATTATTTGGATTTTATTTTAATTCAGCTTATGACCAAGTCTATTATTATAACAAAACATTGGATCAATATCTTACTTTTATATAGAGAATTTAGTAGTGAAAATTTTGATTATTATAATATTACTAATAAAATATTATGCTCATTTAAAGCTCTGAACAGTTTGGATTAATCTGAAAATTTTCAATTTGGATCAACTTCGGTTCATTTTGGATTGCAAAAATTTCAATCCGAAAATTTTCAGTTCAGTTCGGATTTTTTTCAGATTATAAATCTAATCTGAACTGAAAAAAATCTGAACCGAACTGAAAATTTTGGATTAATCCAAAATTTCGGATTATTTGGAATGATGAAATTATCATTCCAAATAAACGATAAAAGAATCGTTTGATTGGAATGATTAAATTATTATTTTAAACAAACAATAAGAAAATCATTCAATTGGAACGATCAAATTATCATTCTAAACGAATGATAAAAGAATCATTTGATTGGAATGATTGAAGTTATCGTTTTAAATGAACGATAAGAAAATCATTCAATTGGAATGATAAAATTATCGTTTCAAATGAACGATAAAAGAATCGTTCATTTGAAATGATCAAATTATCATTCCAAACGAACGATAAAAGAATCGTTCATTTGGAATGATTGAAGTTATCATTCTAAATGAACGATAAAAGAATCATTCAATTAGAATAATCAAATTATCATTCCAAAAGAACGATAAAAGAATCATTCAATTGGAACGATCAAATTATCATTCTAAATGAACGATAAGAAAATCGTTTGATTAGAATGATCAAATTATCGTTTTAAATGAATGATAAAAGAATCGTTCAATTGGAATGATTGAAGTTATCGTTCCAAAATGAATGATAAAAGAATCGTTCAATTGGAACGATTGAAGTTATCATTCTAAAACAACAATGAGAAAATCATTTGATTTGAACGATCAAATTATCATTCCAAATGAATGATAACAGAATCGTTCAATTGGAATGATTAAATTATCATTCTAAATGAACGATAAAAGAATCGTTTGATTAGAATGATTAAATTATCATTCTAAAAGAACGATAAAAGAAACGTTCATTTAGAACGATTGAAGTTATCATTCCAAACGAACGATAAGAAAATCATTCGATTGGAACGATTAAATTATCGTTCTAAAAGAATGATAAAAGGATCGTTCTAAACAATCTGAAATTTTGGATTAATCTGAAATTTTCAGTTCAGTTCAGATTTTATCCAGTTTACAGTTCAGTTTAGTTTCAGATTAGCATTTTTAAGATTTATAATCCAAACTGAACTGAACCAAAATTTTTGGTTCAGTTTCAGATTGGCCTATAATCTAAACTAAACCAAACCGTTCAGAGCATTATGCTTATTATACAAGTTAGGTTATAATAATAAGAAAAGCATAAAAGGTAAATATAAAAATTAAATTCTATTTTATTAAATGTAAATAACGTAAAATTGTGATAATTGCATAGTTTTATTATTTTATAATGCTATATTTGCTTATGCTTCATTGTGATATTTTTTTACAGGGTTAATTTACGCTGACTATACTTACTATAATTTAAATTGATTTGAAATCATATAAAAGAAAATATAATCAAATCTGATAAAGTATTAACTCCCAGAGTATCTAGATTAACATTAACTGATTTATCAAGTATTTTGACAAATAAAATTTATTTCAATTTATATAAAAAACATAAAAAAGAAACTGGATATGAGCTATAGCAATTATTAGAAGTTTATATATTAAAAGCTGTGATAAATATTTCACCAAAATCTAAGACCTTTGATTTTAAGTTTATTACTTTTGAAATCAAACCTAATACAGAATTAATTATAAGAATTGTGTTAGAGTATTTCATATATTTGAAATTCTGAAATAGTTTCAGAAGGATTGATAATTATAATTTTGTATCTTCTCAGCTATTAAGCTCATTATGTCTTATTTGTAATAGAAAATATAGAAATTATAAATTACATGATGAATGGTATAGTAATGAAATAAAATATTATCTTACTTACAATATTTCAATAATCTGATTATACAGACTGATCATCTAAAATATATAGTAGTTAATATCAGGAAAATTCTTGCTAAATGAATAATAAATAGGGTTGTGTAATATAAGATTGCATATATATTCATATTATTTTTTTAATTTCCTATTAAAGTATTTTAATTTCTTCTGAAGTCTTTCATAATATATCATAATGTGAAAAGTGCTAATGAGAAATATCTATTTTCTTATAATTCATAAAAATATTTGCTTTTTTAAAATCAGAAGAGCTATAGGTAGAATAAAAACAAATAGAATAAACTTTAATATTTCTGAATTTATACTTATTCAATATAATGCAAATAAAAAAGATTTCCTCTGATTAACTTTTTGTATGTAGATGATAGAATAATAATAGATTAATTTCTATTAATTATGTATAGTAATATTATTAAAGAACATACACCTTAATGTAAAGCAATAAGATAAAATCTTAATTCATAATCAGTAAATTAAATTATTAATGAAAATCTAGGATTTTTTTGTTTTGCAACTATATCTACAAACTCTTAATACATGAGAATAAGATAAGTTGAGATTTTTATTCTAATGATTAAAATAATTTCAAACTAATATTGCTTTTTTTGCTTTAGCATCGACTTGGAAAATTTATAAATAGAAAATAAATAGATATTATTTTCATTTCTCTTTGCAATATTATCACCACTATAGTCAATAAGTATTTAAGTATCACTATAACTAGTAAATCTTCAGTCAGCAATTCTGAAATTTGAACTGATATTATAGAAATTTTTCAACTTGAAGCACTCTCTTAAATTACCTTCAAAATCAAGAAATTTCAACAGTGTTTTATTAGAGAGACCTCTTGAAAACTTAATCTATATAGTCTTTATAATAAAGACTAGTGCTCTGTAAGGGTCGAGTCGGATCGGGTTTGAAACATATTCGAACTCAAACCTGTTAATAATTACAGAACCCGAGATTCAACTCGATCTGACCATTGTTCGACTCGGATTCGACTCGATCAACCCGGGACAACCCGGAAATGACTCGAATTTTAAGGGTAATATTAACTCAGAAATAAAAAAGCATGTATATAGTTTATTTTACAGTATTTTAAAATTGTATATTTTATT